ACTTTCTCGAGGGTTTTTATTAAGAAAGGATGCTGTATTTTGTCAAATGCTTTTTCTGCATCAATTGACAGGATCATATGGTTCTTTTCTTTTATTAATGTGATGTATCACATTGATTGATGTGAGAGTATTGAGGCAACCCTGAAGCCCAGAAATGAATCCCGCTTGATCATGGTGAATAATTCCTTTTATATGGTGTTGAATTCGATTTGCTAGTATCTTGTTGAGAATTTTTGCATCCGTATTCATCAGGGATATTGGCCTGTAGTTCTCTTTCTTTGCTGGATCTCTGTCTGGTTTGGGAATCAAAGTAATGCTGGCCTCATAGTATGAGTCTGGAAGCTTTCCTTCCCTTTCTATTTTTTGGAACAGCCTGAGAAGGATAGGTATTATCTCTGCTTTAAATGTCTGGTAGAATTCCCCAGGGAAGCCATCTGGTCCAGGACTTATTTGTTGGGAGATTTTTGACAACTGATTCCATTTCTTCACTGGTTATGCATCTGTTCAAATATTCTATTTCTTCCCTTTGAGTTTTGGAAGTGTGTGGCATTCAATGCAATAGCAATCAAAATTGCACCAGCATTCTTCTCAAAGCTAGAACAAGCGATCCTAAAATTTGTATGGAATTACAAAAGACGCCGAATAGCTAAAATATTATTAAATTTAAAAAGTTTTTAATGTTTATTTATTTTTGCAGAGAGAGAGACAGACAGAGCATGAGTGGGGGAGGGGCAGAGAGAGAGGGAGACACAGAATCTGAAACAGGCCCCAGGCTCTGAGCTGTCAGCACAGAGCCTGATGCTCTAACTCACAGACAGCGAGATCATGACCTGAGCCGAAGTCAGACCCTCAACCAACTGAGCCACACAGGTGCCCCACCAAAGTAATATTGAAGAAGAAAACCAAAGTGGGAGGCATCACAATCCCAGTCTTTAGCCTCTACTACAAAGCTGTAATCATCAAGACAGTATGGTGTTGGCACAAAAACAGACACATAGACCAATGGAATAGAATAGAGACCCCAGATTTGGACCCACAAATATATGGCCAACTAATCTTTGACAAAGCAGGAAAGAGTATCCAATGGAAAAAAGACAGACTCTCTAACAAATGGTGCTGGGAGAACTGGAGAGCAACATGCAGAAGAATGAAACTAGACCACTTTCTTACACCATTCACAAAAATAAACTCAAAATGGATGAAAGACCTGAATGTGAAACAGGAAACCATTAAAACCCTAGAGGAGAAAGCAGGAAAAAACCTCTTTGACTTCAGCCGCAGCAATTTCTTACTCGACGCATCTCCAAAGGCAAGGGAATTAAAAGCAAAAATGAACTATTGGGGCCTCATCAAGATAAAAAGTTTCTGCACTGCAAAGGAAACAATCAACAAAACTAAAAAGCAACTGACAGAATGGGAAAAGATATTTGCCAATGACATATCGGATAAAGGGCTAGTATCCAAAATCTATAAGGAACTCACCAAACTCCACACCTTAAAAACAAAAAATCCAGTGAAGAAATGGTCAGAAGACATGAATAGACACTTTTCTAAAGAAGACATCCAGATGGCCAACAGACACATGAAAAGAAGATCAACGTCACTCCTCATCAGGGAAATACAAATCAAAACCACACTGAGATAACACCTTACGCTGGTCAGAGTGGCTAAAATGAACAAATCAGGAGACTATAGATGTTGGCGAGGATGTGGAGAAACAGGAACCCTCTTCCACAGTTGGTGGGAATGCAAACTGGTACAGCTGCTCTGGAAAACAGTGTGGAGGTTCCTCAAAAAATTAAAAATAGATCTACCCTATGACCCAGCAATAGCACTGCTAGGAATTTACCCAAGGGATATAGGAGTGCTGATGCATAGGGGCACTTCTACCCCAATGTTTATAGCAGCACTTTCAACAATAGCCAAATTATGGGAAGAGCCCAAATGCCCATCAACTGACAAATGGATAAAGAAGATGTGGTTTATGTATACAATGGAATACTACTTGGCAATGAGAAAGAATGAAATCCGGCCATTTGCGGCAACATGGATGGAACTGGGGGGTATTATGCTAAGTGAAATAAGTCAGGCAGAGAAAGATAGATAACGTATGTTTTCACTCATATGTGGATCCTGAGAAACTTAACAGAAGAACATGGGGGGAGGGGGAGGGGGGGGAAATGTTACAGAGAGGGAAGGAGGCAAACCGTAAGAGACTCTTAAATACTGAGAACAAAGCGAGAGTTGATGGAGGGTGGGGGAGTGGGGGAAATGGGTGATGGGCATTGAGGAGGGCACCTGTTGGGATGAGCACTGGGTGTTGTATGGAAACCAATTTGACAATAAATTATATTTAATATATAAAAAAGAAAGTAGGGGTAGAAGGGACATACCTCAAGATCATAAAGGCCATATGCAAAAGACACACAACTAATATCATCCTCAATGAGGAAAAACTGAGAAATTTCCCACTATGAACTCCACCACGAAATATCAAGACACAGATGTCATGGGTATACTGTGCACACCAGCAGTCTCCTGTTCTGTCTCCATCTCTGCAAAATTCCCAGCCAGTGACCCCTTGGATGGCTGCCCAATATCCTTCTCACTGCTCTCCTTCCAGAACTCACCATATCCACCAGACTCCCTGTTCCCCAAGTACTTCAGTCTGTGCATTGCATCTGACAAAGTGTCCTCAACATTGTTTTCCAATTTTATATTCTGCTCTTCATCTGTGTCTTCTCAATGATGGTAAAAATAATTTGAGACTGTTCCATCTAGTCTTTTTTTTTAAGTTAAATTCAAGTTAATTAACATACAGTGCCATTTTGGTTTCAGGAGAGGAACCCAGTGATTCATCTCTTACATATGACACCCAGTGCTCATCCAAAAAGTGCCCTTCTTAATACCCATCACCCACTCAGCCCATTACCCCACCCACCTCCCCTCCAGCAACCTTCAGTTTGTTCTTGGTTTTTAACAATCTCATGGTTTGCCTCCCTCTGTTTTTATCTTGTTTTTCCTTCCCTTTTGCCATGTTCATCTGTTGTCTTTTTAAAATTTCACATGAGTGAAATTATTTGATATCTTTCTTTCTCGGACTGACATAATTCACTTTGCGTAATGCTCTCTAGTTCCATCCACATTGTGGCAAATGGCAAGATTTAATTTTTTTTGTTCCCTGAGTAGTATTCCATTGAGTACATCTTTATCCATTCTTCTGTCAGTGGATATTTGGACTCTTTCCATACTTTGGCTATTGTTGATAGTACTGCTAGAAACATTGGGGTACATGTGCCCCTTTGAATCAGCATTTTTGTATCCTTTGATTAAATACCTATT